GCAAAACACTGCTGGTGTTGACGTGTAAACTCGCGTGACATCAACGAAATCCAAGGCTGTGACATCAACAAAGCAAGGCTATGTGGTCACCCTGGCTGGGAAAAACGTGTTTCTTAAGCTCCCGTCCTAAAACTGTCACTTCCGTTGCCATTCAGAGAAGGTTAGGTGTTTTATGCTGAACTTGGGGTCTTGGGATGACGTATAGTTTTGCATCAACGTTTCGTAACACATATGCATAGTCGCGTTTGGATACGGACAAGTTTTTGTTCTGGTTTATGCTTCGTGGTTGTCTGTTGTAAGACTTTGGGTGTCTATTCAAGGTGTTCATGTCGTCTCTGTGTGCTGTTGCCTACTGATACCAAGCAAGAGTTGAATGCTCGTGACACGGAAAGCAGTAGAGCAGTGGAACGTCATGACCAGCTTCAGTTAGCTGCGTTTCGCTTTGTGGCAGCCAGATCAAGTTAGTGTATGCGTAATTTTTTGCACCACGGTTAAAGCAAACTCAAAGCTTAAATTTTGGACATTCCCCGCCCCGCTTATCATCATGAGTTGGAACATCATAATCCCAGCCCGGACCATTGCTATTTACTTACTAAAAAATGCGTGTAGAGATTGAAATAAGGCTTTGGTGAGTTCAAATTGTTACCTAACGCGCAGTTACCCTCTGGAAAGGAACACATTCTAAGAAACGGTTTCACTTAAAAACGTCATTTATCAGAACAAACCGGCGCAAGAAGCAGTCTTTCTATCACTTCTCCCCACTCTCTCACTCACCCAGTTGGCAGAGGCCCGGCTGGCTCTGTCCCTCCACGTGTTTCCGCCCCTCTCGCTTCGCCGCACCCCGTGCTACTGTCGGCCGTCGAGCCAGCGTCAAGCCGGGCGAGCGCCAAAGCCACAGCCGTGGCTAAAACCGTGGCCAAAGCCGTGGCCGAAGTCGAGTCAAAAACCGGCGGGCGTACGGGCGTCTGGGGAGGGGAAGAGTGGGAAGGGGAGTAGGAGAGAGGGGGAGAGGGGGAGGGTGTGATTGGAAGGAGAGAGCGGATATTGAAGGAGTAGCGTTTAGGGTACAGAGTAAGAGGGAAAGGCAAAGCGAGAGGTTATGGTGAGTTGGATGGCTATATTTGTTTTACGATTAAACACGGTTTTGATAGTTACTGAATCATGAAATCAGTATTTTTGGGTAAAAATAGTAATAATGAATAAACAAGCACTGTCGCACTTAGTGTCATAAACATTTTCTAAGCGTTCTGGCTCGCTTCAAACACAAGCAGCGTCTCATGACTTTGGGTATGTCTGGAATGCTCGTATCTCGACGATCAGCAAGATCCGGGTCGATGCGGTTAGCTCGATGTACTGATCTTTGATCATGTTCCGGTATGCTTCCGCGGTCTATACAGCGCATTGTGTTTCTAGTAAGGGTTGGTGACCTCTGGACTCTGGAGATGGTGACCGTTCAGGCTGTCGCCTGAGGCAAAGAGCTGCTGTTTTTGGTACGGAACGAGACCGCCCTTTAGCTTTGGGTGATCGACATTTATATGAATTGCCTGTTTTCTGACTTCTGAACAATTTGAAAGATAATTGGAACCGTGGCAATGTTATTAAAACTTAGGTATAAAAAGCAAATATAAGGAAATCCGTTAGTTCAATCATCTTTCTTCCTCAGAAGTTTGTCCTTCGTAACATTCGGTTGCTCTTGTATGATCGGTGGTCCGAAAAAAAAAACTCGACACATTAATTGTTCGCTCTTTTTGTACCGTGCATCACTTTCTATGGTGTGTTGCAAGGAGGCCTTCTTGCGCCCATGTTTTATTCAGTGACCAGCGACCATGACCTAGTCACTAGTCAGACGTGATGTGCGCACTAAACAAGGAGCACTGGTACCTATACCTATGACTTATGGGGCAGGGGGCAGGGCTATGCCACTCTCAAAGATCGCAACACTTGAATTGGAGCCTCAATGATCTTCGACCTTGCTTATGGACAACTTTTCATAGTACAATTTTTATGCACTGTTTTGCATCTTCCGTGATGACTGGCGAGAGACTTACAGCTTGTCGAGCCTTAGCCTCGAGCGCTAAGGCTTTCACGGCTTGTTTCGCGTTCGTTTGTAATGTTTGTTTCACTGATGTGTGTAAATTTGTAAACGATGTCGCTATGTAACCATTCGCCATCGTTGTTTGCATATCACTGAGGCCGTGGTTTAGGAGCAGCAGCTTGAATGTTTATCTTTCCCATCGCTGCCGTCATGACTGGAGATGCGTTGTCATTTGATGTAACACGAATCATCCTGAGCTCCTCTTCCTTTGCCCTCACACTCGACTTTCACGTCATTATTTGGCAATGTTTTTCTCGATGTAAACATCTTACATTCCCACCTGCTAACTTCGTTCCCCATTTGCAGCCCATCTTCCTGTTCCGTTCCTGTCAGCTTTCTGTGATGGTTTCTCTCCGTCCGTATGCTTCGTGATCCTCTCTGCCCCTCATCTGGCCCCTCCTCTGGCCCTTTTGCGACGCCTTTTTCGTGACTCTCCCCTCGTTTCCATTGCCCCGCACCACTCCCACTGCTCCCTTCCTGCACCTCCCCTTCTCTCTCCCCTCCCTCCCCTCTCTCTCTCTCTCTCTCTCTCTCTCTCTCTCTCTCTCTCTCTCTCTCTCTCTCTCTCTCCCTCCCTCCCTCCCTCCCTCCCTCCCTCCCTCCCTCCCTCCCTCCCCCCGGTTCTATCCTCATGGCGCCGATCGTGGCTTGTGACATTGGCACACGGAGTTCGGCAGTGATAGCTGTGGGGACGGTGGTCACAGGTGCTTGGTCAGAACGCATGTGTGGTCTGTCTTCCGTGACTGACCCTCCCCCTCTGCCCCCATCCCCTCCTCATCCCCCTCCCATTGAGAATTCTCCAAACTCTCCACGTAGTTTGGCGTATGATTATTTCATAAATATGCAAGATATTGCAACAAAAATTACCTGAAGTTGCGTTTTTTATAACCTTTTCAAGGGTTGAAAAAGTTATAATAAACGAAACGTCGGGTAATTTTGTTGCAATATGCTCCATATTTATGAAATAGTTGGCGTATGATGTGGAGAGAGAGGTGACGGAGGGGGGAAAGAGGCTGTTGGCGGTATGAGAGTGAGGTAGCGTGATATTTACAGACGTCACGACACACAATAACCATGCAGCGTTTTTGGGAGTGCGTGTGTGCTGCGTGCTAATAGATTTTTGTGAGTTGAATAAGCTAAACTTTTCAACCACTGCGTGTGCTCATACATTAACTGCTTTCAGACATTGCTTTCGTAGCACAGGTTGATGCATAGAAATTAACGATGCCATTTTTGTGCGTTGAAGTACGATAAATTTATGCATCTATTTACTGCCTGTAAAGTCCACATGTAACCGCCCAGTCAAAGTATGGCACCGTTTTCTATCACAGAAACCGTCTACAGTCCCGAACTCGACTACTGTTTCCATAGCATGACTCAACTAATTGATAGTGAGCCCACAACGTTGCACCATTGTCCGTTAGCAACGCTTCAAGTACCATGAGCACAGTGTGCAGTTAGGTGGCAATGAATTAACGGCTATTTGCGTAGTTATAGTTTCATAACCATTCTAAGGGCGACCTTTTTGCAGTACATTTCACTTTTAACCCGCGCACCGACGGGGGTCTGCGCCAACTTCGCACCGACGGGGGGGGGGCGGATGACGGCCCCCCCCCCCCTCTGAGATCTCGAGAATGAAGCAAGATAGCGACAAGCGGTAAACGGCATCGGATATGCACGGTCAAGATCTACAATTTTTACTAAGGTCATTTTCAGGTCAGGTCAAAGATGACGTCACAGGGGTCGAAAAAGTCAAAATGGCGGCGCTAGATATGGAGAGTTTTTCTCGAATAACTTTCGAATTAGTCAAGATAGGAACAAACTAAGGGCATCATCGTGATCCTCTTGTCAATCCGCATCGAATGATATATATGTTGACCTCGAAAGGTCAAGGTCAAAGGTTGACCTCAGGTCACGTGACCTCGAGGTCATCATGTATATCATTCGATGCGTCTTGACGAGCTGAACACAATGAGACCATCCACGCGGCTGTATCTTGTTCCTATACGGAGTTATTGGCCAAAAACCTTTGGTGACCTTTGATGACGTCACATGTCCTCACAGCTGCCCAACAGCAAAACAGACCTCAAGGTAGTGAAGGTTGATCGTATATGAAGTCATATATGGAATATGGGCCATTCCGACCCGTTTTAGTGGTAAAAACAGGGAGTTGATTTTTCCCCCATTGACTTATAATGGGGAGGTCGCGAAATTGACCCGACCTTAGGTCACCGATATCAAAATTCCGAGATAAACAAATTGTAGCTACTAATGACCTAATAACATCCTGCGACTTTCAAAGGCCTCCGACATCTACTGTAGCTCTGGCACGGTGACAAAGTTGCAAAAAAGTGACTTGAGGTTGGGTCATTCAAAGTGACCTGGTGACCTGACCTTAAAAGGTAGGAGGTTCAAACTTGCACACCATGTGTAAAATTGATGAGGGAATAGTCGTACCAAATTTCGCGGCGCTACGCGCCGCGGTTTTCCCGCTATTCGCGAAAAACCTCAGGGGGGGGGGCGGATATCCGCCCCCCGTCGGTGCGCGGGTTAAAATGGACCACATGGACCACGTCATACAGGTGAATGGTGATCTGTAGTCCCAAATCGCATTCTTGGCAATCGAAAAAGATAGGTATGCGGTTTTTGCTTTCAATGCTGTACATTCTCTCTTTTTTCTCTCCCTCTCCCTCTCCTTCTCCATCTCCCTCTCCCTCTCCCTCTCCCTCTCCCTATCCCTATCCCTATCCCTCTCCCTCTCCCTCTCCCTCTCCCTCTCCCTCTCCCTCTCCCTCTCCCTCTCTCTCTCTCTCTCTCTCTCTCTCTCTCCCCTCTCCCTTTCTCTAGCCATGTATGCATAACCCCCTCTTCTTTATTTACGTTTTGCTCTCTTGTCTTTTCTCAGGATGTTCCTCCCTCGTCGGGCCAGTAATGAAAAGTACGACGACATGGCAGACGAGCGGCGAGGAACCAACATACTACTGAGGGCCGATGAGACGTTCACAAACATAAAGGTAAGGTGGGAAATTTAGGATGCAACAGACATCCTACTGCGGGTCGATGAGACGTTCACAAACATAAAGGTAAGGTGGGAAAGTTAGGATACAACAACAGACATCCTACTCCGGGTCGATGTGACGTTCACAAACTTCAAGATAAGCAACGCACTTTCATGAGAGGATATAACTGGAGAGTAGTTGCAAATATTTATAACAAAATGGCATGCTCAACGACAAAGTGCCAGTGTAAAACAGCAGTTTACAGTGCAGTGCGCAGTTTCACGACGCTTCCAAAACTGCTGGTATTGTTTCATGGCCCCATAATACCGCCATCAAACGGTTAGATGTCATAGAGGGCGTATTTTGGTCTGACATAAGATCCATTCGACACTGCACACTGCGTAGGCTGTGCGTGAGCGAGTTTGATGTTTAGGCTGGAAAGCTCCCACCTGCGCACATCGAGTAGGTAAATTAAACACAGGTGGAAATACGCTGTCGAGCACCCCCAAATTATCACAGCTGACAGCGGCGGCACCGCGATATTGTGCGACGCTGTCAGTCTCGCAGACAATGGCTCCGACTTCCGGTCGACACGCCCAGTGCACAATACCGGCACGCGCTGGGGGGGGGGGGGGGAGGGGGTCGACCTTGTCCCTAGTTCGGCTCTGTTGATCATGCCCCAGCTACAAGTAACGCACTTTGAGTGCCGATGTTATGGTGCGTTGGTTGTCGGGGGCGTGTGTGTAGGGGTAATAGGGAGGTAATGAGCGGTTTGATGGAATGTTTGAGATATTACGTGATGTTTTGGTCGGTACTTCGTATAAGGCGATCGATGCGGTACTGTTTGATGAATGGCTTCATTATTGTTGAGTGTGTTAAATGTAACGTGAAGTTGCGGTTCGGGATATATGCGACGGTTTCGTTTATTAAATGATAGCTATTTCATTCTTGTTTATCTAGTTGACTAAAACGATTAGTGCATGCGTTTTTCGACTCCCACAATAGTTAACGTTAGGTATTTCATACATTTCGTATTTCGTTCATCATGCGTTTATTTTGTCGTCATCGTCGTCGTGCTCACTTCACGTACTTTATTAGTTTAAAGCGAAAACAATTATATCGATATCCGTTTATTCTGAAGAAATGACAATGTCCCACTCATCAGCCGAGTAAACTTACACACAACGACATTGACTAAAAGGCATCGGAAGGTAACGGTGAACAAAGCATCGCTAAAGCCTTATGTCATTACAACCTTTTCACACTTTCCACTTATCACCCTTCCTTGGCATCCGGCTTTGTGTAAATCCTGAATGCCCGCCCGAACCCCTCCTCTCTCCCTTCTTTGATCTCCTTTTCTATTCCACTTTCCCTTTTCTCCCTCCCCTCCTAGCACCCCGGCGGCACTGGCCCACAATTCTCTTCCGACCACGATCGCACGGCCGCCCTGCACAGCGTCCCAAACTCTGCCCCGGGATGGGCCAGTGACAAAAGATGGGACAGCGGCAGACTGGCTAGACGAACGGCTGTTAATGCAGGGTGTCCTGCTCTTGGCCGGGTTTCGTGCGGTTCTTTGGTTGATGATCTACCTTCTGGGTGTGTTTTGGATGGTGAAGTTGTTGAAGACGGTGGTGTAGAATAATGCTCCGTACGTGTTTCTGAGGTCTTTGCTGTTCTTTTTGTTGGCATATCTACTGCCGACTTGCTTGCACTTGTGTGCAACTGTGTCTTTGCCTTCTCTGGTTCTCTGGCTGATCCTTTGTCTTCTTGATGGCTTACTTGATGAGGCCTTGGTACAGACGTTGTAGACGATCCTGGGGCAGCATCTGTCCTAGCTGTAGCCGCTGCATCTGTCGCAGTATCTTCTGTTGTTGTCTTACTGGTCCTTGCAACTCTCGCTTGCACACCTTTCTCAGCAAAAGCACGGTTCAGCTGACACAGTCGGTACGCTATACACTGACCTCTGAGATGTTCGTCATGCTGTCCTCCCTTCTCGTACAGCAGCTTCAGTACAGGAAGGAGATGATGCAGAGCACGGTACTGCTCGTTCTCTGAAGAGAACGACGAGTAGGTGTTGGCAGGCTGCCAAGGGTTTCCCTCGACGTTGTCGTTTTTGTTGCCGTACCAAGCGCCGTTTCCTACGTTGTTATGGTAACTGTCAATGCCGTTGCCAATGACATCACTGTTCCAGTTTCCGTTTGCCATTCCATTTCCTATGCCCATTCCATTCCCATTTCCTATTCCGTTTCCATTGCTGTTTCCGTTGCCATTACCGATGCCACTGCCGTTTCCGTTTCCATTCCCGTTGCCGTTTGCCGCGGCCGCCTGAGCTAGAGACAGCGCCAGCAGAGCGGCAATGGCAGCGAACCCCGCTGTGGCTCCTTCTAGACCTTGAAGACATCGACAGTTGTAGCCCTGCCCGTCCCTGTAACTGCCACCGCTTCCTACATATCCTGCAGAGAACAGTGATCTTGCCTTTGATGCAGCGGCTCGCGTTGTCGCCGCCAAGCGGATGGCTGTTGCTGAGGACTCTCGAGCACTTCTAGAGTGGTGCTGGTGGTGATTCTCCTGGCGTTTCTGCCAGATGCAGACTGCCTCGACCACTGCCGCGGCCAGTTCGGGTCCCGGGTAGTCTAAAGATGGGGGTGACGCGTACAGGCCACGACCCCTTCCGCCTCCGCCTCCAGCATTGTTTTGGAAGAACACGAAGACGGTCACTCCTAGAAGAGCAACTCCTCCTGTCACTAGCGCTGCGACGTCGAACGCAGAACAGTCACAGGATTTGATGCCGTAGTGGGAAGAGGAAGAGTCGTATGGTGAAGAGCGTGAAGGGGAGTAAGGAGTTTGAGTGGTACTGGGTGAGGTGAAGTCGTTGAAGAGAGACTCGAATATGCTGGGGGTGCTGTGAGATGATGATGTTGGACTAGAGACACCGTTGAGGTTTGTTGTTGTGTCAGGCCGCCGGAGGAAGGATGATGAAGGGAAACACATTTTGACGGTGAATAGCAAGGGCTGCTAGAAAATCTTCCTTTGCTTCTTTGGTGTTCCGTTCTTCTCGGTATGATGACGATGGTTTATCACGTTTAAAGTAGATCTTTCGTATGCTTTTTAGTCGTTCTTGTCAGTTTTCCTTACAGATTTTATTTATACAATTTCGCTTAGTGACTCCTCTTTTCGTGGGCTCACTGCAATTTGCTTTTCCGCCGTTTAGTCTCGATGTTCTGGTCTTATGATCTTTGCCTACCCCACTGATTCCGAATCACTGAAAGCCGCCGACGAACCTCCTCACGGGAACTCCTCAGATTTCAGAGTGCTAACCATGGCTACAAGTTAGCTTCAGAACGTCACTTTGACACTTGAAGGCACACACGGCAGAGCACGTCACATAAATGAAGTACAAAGCAGACCAGCAAACTCGGACCAGTCTTGTCCGTCTCCCGTCTGCACAGCTTCTGTCCGAAGCCGTTTGCGTGGTCCGAGATGCGCTCATGTCGTGTGTGACGCCTCTGCTTCTCGTGACGTCTTCGTGACGGTTCAGTAGCGCCAGCCTGTGATGTGTGACGTCCGCGGCACGCCTCGTGACTGGCCGTGACGTGACGTGCCTAGTACCTAGTGCCTAGTGACGAGTTTCTAGGTTTGGTGTTCGACTTTTGGCTTTGTTTCGTTTATTTTTACGCAGGCGTTGTATTGCCATCGGCAAGGGATGTTTTCGGGCTGGTAAATACTTTTTTACATGAAGTCAAATGAAAGCGTCGTTAAGCCGCAAAACGCTAAGTTGTTTGCATATCAGCGTGGCTTTTATTTTCTTGATGAAATTAAAGGTCTGAACTATAGCTTCGCAGCCATGCGGTGGTATCAGCCATCCGTTTCAAACCGTTTTTATCATGTTCATGTTCGATTTGCCATGAAATGTTCGTGCCTTCCAGTTTTAGCGAGGAGCCTCCCCAGTAGGGCAGTCGTGATGAAGGTCTTTGTGCAAGATCGGTTCTACCTAAAAAAGGATGCTGTCGGATGGCTGAGCGTCACGACACAATATCGAGTTAATGTGAATGATGATTTTATGTAGGAACCAAAACAAGTCCCATGTGATCTTAAGAATGAAAAATATTAATGCTTATTTATGGACACATTAAGTTTTGCTTGAACAGGGCAGCCATAGAAACGACACATAGAACCATTTGGACCCTAGTTTAACATGTGTTTCGTTTAGTTTCGTTGCAGAGTGTCATTCAGTTGCATTGCTGCATCACAAAGCTGCTTCTCTATGTGGGGAGGGAAGTATGTGGCCGCACGTATTCATGTGACTTGCTGTTGTTTGTATTTTCATCCAGTCGCAACATTCGTGCTAGCGCATCATAATACATTGAAGAAAAAGAAGCGAACATGCTTCTGAACACACGATTCAATGCACATGGACTTCTTTGTCGGGAGATTGGGAGGCACCCAAGGGAGATGCAGAGGGCCAGAGGCATAGGCATAGGGATAGGTTTTTGCCAACCTCAATGTTTTTTATGGTAAAAATGCACGTTACACTTCACCCGATATCTCACAAATATTACACTTTACCCGATACCGCACAGAACAGAAAAGCGAGATCAGTGACATGATATGTGTGAATGTCTGGTTCAGACTGGTCTGTAGTGTCAGCTGCTGTCAACAGATGGCTCTGTTGTGCAAGGTGGCGTTGGAGGTGCTCGGCTGACCCAGGGGTGTGGTGTTCACAGCTATTGTCGGCTGGGAATAATTGATATTTGATATTACGTTTGGTTGGACGTCCTGTCTAACTTAAACGGAGCTTTGGCGGCGGTTGGAGCAGTTACGAAAACAGGGTTATTAAGCTCATTTGTGCTCAGTCAAGGGTTGAGGTTGAGGCCTCGTGGGGAAGCGGTGCTAAGATGAAGGTGGACTCTCGACGAGTCAGTCCACCTTCAGTTTGAATCGTCAGTACTTGTTGTCATCTGCCGGTGTAATTATTTTCTATCTTAGAACTGATCCCTCCATTTTTGGGACCACACGCTTCAACGATGGGGTTGACGATCAACCTCAAACATATGTAAGCCTCAACCAAAGTGAATCGTATAAACCACATTGAAATCATCGGTAGCTAAGACCTTTTCCGTGTTCCCACTTCCCACTCAGTCCTTTTTTGCACCATATGTATGGGGCAGGTCATGGATGACCAATGCGTATCTAACCACTGTTTTCCGTTCACAGAAGAGCGAAGTGGGTCCGATCATCCCCACCCACGGCTTCTCCAGTTTCAAGTTCATCCCTGGCACGGACGACACTTGGATTATCGCCCTGAAATCTGAGGAAGACAGCGCCGCCAACCGGACAAACACCTACATTACTGTTTTCTCTATCGACGGACAGGTGGCGCTGCCGGAAACTCCGCTGAAAGGAGCAATGAAGTTCGAGGGCATTGAGTTTGTTTGACGCTAGGAAACTTGGGGTATGGACATTTGGGAGGGTAGGTATTTAAAAAGAATTGAGAACGGGCATTGCAGCTCAAGGAAGTACTTTTTTCCGTGCGCCCGTACTGGCGTGGCGAATATGTGTGATGCTAGGGTTTGTCTAAAAGGGTGTTTTGTCGTATGATTTGTATGATTTTAGAGAACTGCTAATGCTTCCGACTGCTATTGTTGGAGTGTACGTTCCAAATGTTACTCAGTGAATCTGGAAACAAGTGCCAGACTGTGTTTGTGTGTTTGTGTTTATACATGTTTGTGTTTATACATCATAGCCAGTATGATGAATGTTTTTACCGGATTTTTTAACGGTTTTGGTAAAAGTAAGTGCCTAAAAGTAAAAAATCTCAAGGAGTAGGAAGCCCGCAGTGCTTAAGCGTCACAAAGTATCTAAATCATTTTAGATTTAAATTAAATGATTGAATTTCAGATGGCATGTATGTAATGTATTTATTGGTCGTGAGAGATTGGAATGAGATGCGAACTGCGAAGGTCGCTATATGTAGGACTTGGATCGTACGGAAGATGCTCAGGTGTGTGTCACGTGCTGACTTTGATGCGTAGTGCGATCAAGACACGATGGTATGCGTGGAGCGGTGCGTTGGATTTGTACGTAACGACGGGTGTTTTATTTTGTCGCCATTCCTTGAATAAGAATCACCAGCAAAATAATGCTGGCGGAGACTCTCTCCCTATGTGATTGTTGATCGATGAAATCACAAGTGTACGCTATGGTGTACGTGTGAATGTTTCGTAAATGCTCTTTCTTTGTCACAAGTGGCCAACTTTGATGGCTTTGCTCTATCGTGGCGAAATGTACACTGTACAGACTTTCGTGCAATGTCCATCGACATCATTCGAAATATACATGTTTGAAATTCTTTGTTTTCAGATACAATCGGCTCTAATTGCGCAATTTTGGATCGTCTCGCTCTGTTTAAGTCGCCATTTTTTAGGTAGTTTGATGTGAACTTGTGCTTGTTTTTTGTTAATCGTTCTTTCCATATTTGTTGCAGCTTCTGTTTGGTACGTTTTATTTTTCAACTCTCGGTCGCAAGCTAACGTTTTACAAGCACTTCACCTGAGTGAACGTTTATACTTGCTAAACGTTCTATTTGATACTTTACCAACCACCTTCAAGATCTCAAATGGTATGAGATCAGTTACCTAATTGTGCCATGCACCTTGCGGCATTCGTTACGCCTATTCCTAATGCCACCCGTCGCGTTTATGACCCGCGATTCGCGAATGATTGACAAATTGCCGCTTCGCCCTCTTCCAGCCGAATTTTGCAGCCATAAAACTGCCTCTACCTCGTCGACCTTGGCTGCAATTGTCAATGACCGCTATGACGCGCGAGGCCTCTCAACATCTACCTCGCTTGCACTTTCACTTGCTCTGCAAGCCGCGAGATATTACCTCCCCCGCGGCCGACCTGAGATGGACTCGCCCGGAGCCGCAGCGGCCGGGTCGCCTCGTGCTCGGCAGTAGCGGGCCGGCATCGGTCATGAGGGCTTCGTGCGGGGGGTGGTAGCCGTGTGATTTACGTGCTTAAAGTGACTGGGATCGAGACGAAGATGGAAATGGAGGGGAGACGAAGCTGGCTGTCTAGGAGGATGACGGTCCTGGTGTTGGTGGTCATGATGTCGGCGGGGAGTCTTGCTCAAGGTGGGTCCCGGACTCCTGGTGTATTTTATACCGGGAGTGAGGGAGATTGACTTTGACAGGAGATGATTGCAGATAGTAGATACGTTGGAAGTTTTGGTTCCGTAGCTCTTCCTTATAGCACGTAATTCGGCGCTGCTTGGTGAGGAAGGCTGAGCGTGATTTACAGCGATTGATAATGCTACTGAGTTGAAGGCTTTTCGTCTGATGACGTTTGACATCTGATAAAAAAATCTTGACGTGTCAATTGTCATCAGTTTGTTATGGATCGCACGACTGTTCATGTAATGCACATAACATGTGTCAAACTATATTTGAAATGTAAATGCAAGTTAATTTGTTCGATATATAATTCGATACGTATCCGGTATCCATTCCAAATAGCAGTAAAGGACGTTTGCACAAACGTCTGAAATGGTTGGATGAAAGGCTGAAATGCGTCCGCTGTGTACGTTTGCTGCTGATCGCTTATTTAACTAACTCATTTAGAAGAGCTTTACCAAATTCCCTTAATCAAAACTCAGCACAGTAGGTACTTATCAATCTCGTTGGTTTTTATGTGACAACGTTATGGACTGCTGTCTTTGACACTGAGATGGGATTTAACCAGCATCCCGAGGGCTCACATTACAGATAAATCTAAACTGGACATCCTACCATCGGCACGAGACTTTTTATGAAGCGTGTCTGATTTAACGGGTGAATGGTTATTGATGATTAACGGCAGCCTCCTGGGGCGTTTTGGAGGATCCGTGAAATGTGATCGGTTGTAGCTAATATCTATGTAGAACCCTACGGATCGGATGGCTTATGATGGATTTCCTGAATCGTTTTTTTTTTTCAGGCTCGCTATTATGTTATTTTCTGGTCTGCCGCTTTTGCGTCGAAGGAGGCAGCAACATTAGGTACTGATTTAAATAGTACAGAGAAGATTCATCTTATTGAGATGGTGATTGCGTCCTCCTATCTGCTGAAGCTATTTATCATTTAGCCGACCAACCTACATGTCGGTCTTTCAAAATGAGCTTGGACGATCCACGCACCACAATTTGTCCTCAGAAGTGAACTCTGTTCCTTCAACTTAACTCTGTACGAAAATCCGGTATCCAAACTGAGTGAATATTTCCCCTCACGAGATGTTGCGTGACTGTGTCACGTGATAAAATGGCGTGACGTGACTCTGCGCCACCGGATAAGTCTGTTTTGCTCTCCACGGGAGGTAAAAGCTTTATCTCCAGTGGATGCTGGGTTATGGTGGCGCTAGCCACGCTAGGGAGTAAGTGGTGAGATGCACTTATTGTTCATGATGAAATGCATTCATCAAGGGGACATTTTCATTTAACGAGCGGCAGGGAGGCTTCTAATTTCATACCATCCGATTAAAACCTCGCTTAGAAGCACTATCTGCCTCTGTCACACTGCTAGGCTCTCAACGACCAAAATCTGATAGGATCCGTCTCTCAATTAAAGGGACTATCCCACCTTTAACATGGGGTTTGAGTTGAGATAGCCAAGTTTGCGGCGAGGTTCAGAAACCACTATCTATCATGGTTGCAACCCCCGCGGCCTCTTGGTGTTGAAGAAATTCGTTCCCTTCATTTGAAAATGGGCCTTGCGCAAGGCCCTATCTTCAACATGGAGCGAAGTCATTCTGATTTAAATGGGTTTGTTCGTTGAAAAATCGCTTAAAACTTGGTCTGAACTTTGTTGTGGTGCCTACAGAGTAAAAAGAATCAGCTTTATGACAGTAATGTGGCCTGGGGAAGGAGGTAATTTTGGGCTGTGACGTCACATATTTGAAAGTTTGTGTTTGGAATATGGGAAGCCTAAGATGTTTAATGAAAAATAAATGCCAGAACCGTGTTCCTGGTCATCCAATCTATAAAGTCGGGCACAATTTAACTGGTTTTAACAACATTTTAGAAGGTGGGATAGTTCCTTTAAAATTTACTATCATCCAAACAAAAAGCGGTCCAACTCGGAACCTTCTGTAGCAACCTCCAGCGGGTGGATGACCGGCTTCCAGCCCCCTGTCACATGTCGACATCCTCCATGTAGCTGATACGTGCCTCCACCCGCCGTGCCTCCACCCCCAGACGGCCATTACGCAAAGCTCCTGATGTTGCATGGGGGCCGGTACACCGCACTGTCCGCATTGGTAGACGTTACACCATGCCTGTGAGGTGGTGGCGGCACTCCTTTTGGTTGGCGAGCTCCTCAAGGTAGACCGGTGGCTGGTGAACGGGTTGGGTTCCTCTCTCGACGCGAGACGAGCGTAGTCTCTAGAGGTGTGTAAAAATGCAGGAATGTGTCGAGTGTTGTATGCGTACAAGTCAGTTGTGGTAATTGCATTTAGTTAACTGCAAAGTGGCCATTTTTGACGTTATATCTTGCTAGTGTTGAGATTTTTTCTGCGAAATAGGCTGTTGGGATAAAATATTGAATTACTGAATGAAATATTTCAGGGTTTCAGTGCTGCGCACGAATGTCGACTATGCCAAACGCTATTTTACCATGCATATCTGCGCAAAACCTCTTATGCCATCGGCCCCGGCAGTCATGGTCGCTATGCGATGCCATTGTCATCGTTCATTGACTTACGCACCTCGTGGAAAAATAACGCGGTCCCCTGCCAGTGAAACATCCCAGTCTGTCAGCTAACGAAGGACCGCTGACAGTTATAAGCAGGTAGTATCCGTATCATCGGAAACAATAGACCCGCGCTCAGGCGTACACAGAATATACCGTTACGAAGCCCAAGCTAACTACGCGTCACGGGCGGGATCGCACGAACCAACAAACTGTCTGTCTCACAAGGGGACGCTGACAATAGCATATCTATTCATCGTGGCCTCTCGTTCCCTTGACGTCGGAAGAGGATATCTTAGCGGTGTTTACCGCGGAATGGTTTGTTGGAGCTAACAGTTGGTACGTCGTGATTCTGGGCACTTTGATGCCATCAGTTGTTTGCCTATCTTCACGGATGTGGGTCTGTTTAGCGGATGAGAGGATGAAGATCATTTAGTAGAAGTTGCTTATTTTAAAATAGTTCGTGTGACGTGTAGGCACGTTATCACCTTATATTTACCTGACTTGATCCTGATCAAGATACAACACATCAACTTTCTAGTTTATATGCGGTGATATATTCACTTTTGCTGAAATAGAACACAGCATCATATCCGACACGCAATAGCAATATTCGTAAGGCAAATGTGATCACTTTTTTAGATCAGTGGCCACGAGACAAATCGAGATAGTAAGGCACAAACCTTGACCCTAGAGCCACGGGTCGAGGCTTGGGTCGAGGCTATAGCCCAGAGACAGTAGGTATACGGTCTGGATACGGCCAGGATACGGTCTGGATACAGTCTGGATACGGCCGACTGCCGGGCCGGAAGTAAGGCCGGGCCGCGCGCGCGCCGGCTCAGTGACCACCTGCCACCGCCACCGCCGGAGGCGGCGGCCGCTACAGACACCGCCGCCGCCACTTGCGTCCATCACTGGCGGCCGCTAGACACCGTCACTACCACACCACCGCCTGTAGTGGTTACAACAGACACCGTCACTACCGGGTTACTACAGACACTGCCGCCGCCACCACCTATAGTGGTTACTACAGACACTGCCGCTACCACCACCACCGCCTATAGTGGTGTTACTACAGACATTACCGCCGCCCGCCACAGACGTCAAACAACGCCACAGCGTGCCACCACCGCGCCGCTGCGGCCGTCCTGACGTTACACCATTACAGACATCGTACCGTCTACCGTGAAGGCCCACCATTACCATCGCTGCTGGCATCTTCGTTACATCTTGTCGCATCTGTTGTAGGCACAGCTGTAAACATGCACTCCTCCCAATGCCACCGCATTGCCGCCGCCGCCACCTCCACTGCCGACCACTGTTTCGGTTGCTATACTGTTGCTGTCTGCCGCCGCAGACCACCGCCGTCTCCGTTACAGACACTTCTACAGCTATGAGTGTCGGTATGGAACAGCGGCGTGCGTTAATCATTTCAGCCCATACACCTACCGTTGCCGAACTGATAACAGAACACATATTTAGCGGCTCTCTTATCTTATCCCTGTCTGGTATGTATATTCTGTTTTTTTTTTTGTCCAGCAATAGTGAACATGAATGTTGACTGCTATCTTCACCAACATTTTCCTTGTCATAATTTGGGTGGTTTTTGTCTGATCGGTTTGACCTCTCGCTAAACTTCCAAAGCGATGGCAATTCACATACAAAAGATCGCGACCGGGCCTATACAAGAAGTAGGTATGTAGGAACTGTATGGCACGTGTCTTATTCTCTATTCGTCTCATATCTCGCACGGCCTTCAAATCGCACTTGAAATACGGTCTGTACTTCTCCGGCATTTCCGGTTACGCAATTGTTCCGTTTCCTGTCCCATTTCTGCTCTGAGACGTGGTCGTTTTGTCCTTGCTGGTCCTACTGTACTTGCAAATCCGTTTCTGTGAGAGATATACAGTCAGATTGTTGATTGTGAGTGAGATTGTCGGCACTAGATGGCCGTGAGTTTTAGTTCGTCGTGAGTTCCGGCGAACTCTGATTAATTGATCAGCGAGATCTGGTTAACGTTTGACGTTTGTCTGATAAAATCGTCATCCTGTGCACACTGCACAGTGCACACTTTTCACGCGTCGGGTGTGAGAATTGTCAGTGCAAGAGCTGAGAATCTGAGGACACTTCTTATCATAGCTCGGATCGCTACCAGCTTCAACAGAACAGCTTTATCATGTGTGATGGTGGCAGGGCGGGCGAACAGAGATGAGTCGTTTGAAGTTGTTACTGGTGAGCCTTGGTTGTCCAGTTGAGGAAAAAGCGCTTCCATGCATTACGATGAGTGTAAAAAGGGAAATATTCAGCTGCTCGAACTAAAGTTAAGTTTTCCTTTCTTTTTGCAGCATGCAAGAATCGTTTGATAACAGTGTGGTTCTGTTTTCCAAACTGCATGACTCATTTCGCCTGCAACT